TGTCTACAGTTCGCGTGCATGGCTTGAATTGACATTTGACATTGCAAGATCTGGACCCAAGGGAGGTGGGGGGGCTGAAAAATGGCAACTTGGGTATGGAGTATTAATGATTTGGTCGGCTCTCGTCTTATTGGTATGTATCGCTGGTAAGTTTACACTCTGGTATGGTGTCTACACCGTATTTCGCTAGGCCCTGTCAGTGATAAGTTATCTGTTACTTTGACAAGATTATTAACTGTGGACTTTTCTAGTTGAACCAAACTTCACGTTTGCGGAACAGGCGAGGAAGTTCTTCTCTAGCTCTCTGATTTCGTTGCCGTAAACAAATGTTTACCGAATCCAGATAGTTCGAGCACATGGCTGTTTGTTTCACTGAACAGAGATTCGGCCGGTCTAACTCAGCCTAAAATCCTGCTCCGCGCACGAAATTCTTTGTTGATTCCAGGTATGCCCTAGATATAGCAGTCTTGTTTTGCCTGCCGTTCGGAGATCTCTCTGGCGCTAATGTCAGAGGCAAACACTTATCAAGTTCATATACATGCTGTAGTCACATAGGCTTATTACTTATCATTTAATGCTTTAATGTATAGTAATCAGGAGCATCATGGTCTCCTTGCCTTGCTTGCAAATGACTTCCCGCCATGCATGATGCACAGGAGGGATGAGCCCCAAGCCCAATCGCGACAGGGTACCGCGTTTTCCAGAACAGGGCGCCAAGTTGATCACTACCCAGCAGGTACACAGTACTACAAGGTGATTTCCCAACTGCCACACTCAGGATAAATACTCCTTCTAGTGCCCGCCAGCATGGTGCCTATCTTTCGAGCGCGAGCCGTAGCCAACCGCAACAGGATATGAACACGAGCCTTGAGTGCACGGCCTTGACTTCGACCACGTTGCACCCCTTGATCTTGGCAGTACACTAAGGATAAAGATCTCACCATCTCCGAATGGCTGGTCTAGATAAAGAGGCGCGCTGTGTGGAATATGGTGCTCCCTTACTTCCTTCATCAGCTTCACTCGGTCGCGATCATTGACCCTTTGAGAGGGCAGCCATTCATCCTCGAATGTATGTCAATTGAGCCTTGGAATTTTCCCGTCGCAGAATCTCATGGCTGTTGTCTAGGGTATATCTCAGCGTCAAAGCACAGCCCACTCCGTTTCTAAGCCCCTTCCATTCCTCCCTGGGCCAAGTTTGCTGTCTCGCAGCAAAAAACGGCCCCCGTTCTCCTTATCCGATTAGGGCTTTCCATTTCCCTTCCCGTTCCATAAATGCGAGTGCACCGCCATCATCCCATATACTGTACAGTGCCACTGCCTACTTTAGCATTTGGTTTCAATCTGCCTTTGTACTCTGGCTATACTAAGCCAAACACTTCAAGGGTTTCCCCAGTGGGCGGTTACGCAGCGATTGCACTCTGTGAAAGATTGGCAGGGATGCTCTGAGAGGGAATTACTGCAGCTAAAGGTGGTTAGTCTACGGAGTACTGGTATCCAATTAGCCTGGCCACTGCCCGTAGTACAGGGTCCTACTCAATTAAGATAGCGCCTACGTCCTAGTACTGGGCTTCAAAGTTGTCATGCCGGAGATGAAGCCCTTGTTTGGGGGGGGGGGCAAGTGAGGGGAAGAACATCCCCTCACGCCCAATGGGACCAATGATCTCGCACCAGTTTCTAGAGTCATTTTTAGCCCCAAGTGCCACTTAGCGAGACAACAAATCATCATTCATTCTCAGTGGGGCGGGCCTCATGGCCCTCAGGTGCCCATGTTGATCATGCTATGCTAAACTTGCGGCTCAAAAACTTGCAGACTTACACCCGGCTTGAAACGGGGTTGCTCGAGCCTTAGACCAGATCAATCACAGCCCACCAGATTTCGACAAGTGTGTAGGGCTGAAGAGGCTAAGAATCATCTGTGGAATGACTGTTCAGTGACAGGATTGCGGGCCTGACTCGAACCCCATGGCCAATGCTTCTTTGAAAAGGACGTCCATGCAGGATCGTAACAGAACTCGTAATATGGGATTATGCCACACGTCTATCGGCTCAACGTTGCTTGAGTTCTGATGCTGGCCGTAACCTGTGCGGAGTACGCATAGTACAGCACACTGTATATTTCAGTTGTCGTGGATAATATCCTAGCCATAGAAATAAGTCCCTTTTATCCAACCCCGCCCCCCCCTCCCGCGGCCAAAAGACTTCAGACCATGCGACGCCTTTTCGTATGAGTGTGCCCATCTTCTCCCGCTCAATGTGCGCCGCGGACTTCCTGAAATAGGTTCAGCTGCACTAGATCCGGGCAAATGCAGCAATCATTGGCTGCAGGCACCGCTCGTATAATCACACAGTACTGTAGCACTACCAAGCCACGAGGATAGGTCGATGCATGGGTAGATAGGACTACTGTGATCTTTGCATGCCATGGCGTGCCTTACGGCTGGGCGGGCTTTCTTTTCTTCTAACACCTGAAGAAGCAGGAAGGACTTCCACAGAAAACTCTTGGTGGGTGCCACATAGAAGCTTCTAGTATTTCTAGAAGACATCCAGCGTGATCTGAGACTGTGTCACGCTGCTGCACTGCATTTCACCGCATCGGCTGGTGCGGTAACCATGTCGATTGTATTATCGATAGCTGAATCAGACTGGCTTAGTGCAGCAGTCTTCAGGCTTTATCCAGTCCTGGGTTCTCCTGATGCATAGGCATGCATGCACGCAAGAACGCTCAGTAAGGCCAAGCCTCGTCAATCCAGGTTGTACAGTACATACAATACCTCGTAGCCATATACACAAGCCTGAAGCAAAACCAAAACCTGCCCACACTGCAATGTACTGTATGTAGTGTATAGCAAATGTCCGTGATCAAGGTCTGTTAGTTCTTGCTCGAATGACACCTATCCTTATCATAGCAAGTAATAATGAGTCACTTATAGCACTTGATGATACTATGTGGCTAAGAAACTAGGAGAAGACTAAGAGTAAGAGCCCCGCAAAACCGGGAAGAATGTGAAGACAAAAACACCCCAGTCGAATGCTGTACTGTACGGGAACTCCACGTGCAGCAGCCATGATTCCATGTGATGGCGCCATTCTTATCGGACCTCCACCTACCATGATTTGCGGCGGGTGAGAAATTGGCTCTGGGATCTCTATCTCTAGACTATCCTATTGAGATAACAGTGCCTGTGGATTCCTATCTAACATCTCGGGAGACCTTCACGGACACGACGATCGGTTTAGTCATCCCATGCCGGGGGATAGGATCACATCACTTAACCCATCGTTTTCCAAATTTTAGCCCCGCGGTAGTTACTGTAGTACCTGCAATAGGATGTCTCAACCAAGCAAACTACTCGGTACGTGCGCCGTGGAGATATTCGGTTTGGCCGAGTTGCTTACCGAAGTAGGAAAGTGATGTACTCGGGTACCTAGTACGGCCACTGGCACTACTGTTTCCGGCCCCAATTTGGCAAGTTGGATTGTTGTACAGTACCGCTGAACTATAGTTACGGTGGAAGGAAATTGACTTCCAACCTCATCAGCCTGCCCGGACTTCCGCCCCCATTGTTCAAGTTAACACCGTTACTAGTCCCAGATTCGAGCAATAGCAGAAAACGGCCCCCATGATTAGAAATTCCAACCACAGTTATAGTATTGCAAACTTCGTTTACTAACTTAGGTACTGTACAGTACAGTACACTCCGCCCGACCATGTGGCAATGCTCGCGGATCAGTGCCCCCCAGCAACTGCTTTTAGTACATACAGTACATGCCACAGCTTATGCGCTAGCGGAATTGATTGGTGCCATGCATGCGCAGAGCCGACCAGGTCCGTCTAGATTGAATATACGACCCATCGCCGCGAACTAAAGCAAACGAGCCCCCCCCACAGCAAAGACGGCCACTAGTCCGCACCTGCGTGGTTCTGAATCCCTGTCTAGGGCAGAGAAAAAGGTGTCCCCTAGCATCACGGCGCCTCAATGTTACCACATGTCGATGAGCCCAAAACGTGCGCAACCAATTTGCGTCGCATGAATTCAGCACTCGGGATAGCTTAACTCGCTGATTGGGCCCTTGATCTGCCCTAGACCACTGGCATGCTGCATACGCCAACAGGCAATCGCCAGGAGACCCGTCATAGAGTCTTGTGAGGCTGTGGGGTACTCTGACCGGCGTATCCATCATTTTATACATATATACAGAGGAGTGTGATCTCTCCCCTACCATGACTATGTCGAGGAGAGATGAGTTGCGATTGACGACCTCAATCAGGGGGTGGTATCGGTAAGCACTCTTGTAGATGGGCCACCACAGGTGAGCCCCGGAAAAAGCCACCGGCAGTGGGGAGAGAAGTTCAGTTGACAGAAACGAGCTACGTACTATGGGGTCCAGCGGATCAGTATGGGTACTATGGGATGATAAGTTAGCGCTCCAAAGGCCCACGACACCCACAGTGATTATCACCAACGCGTCTAGTCACTCGACTCGTGGGCGACTAATGCAGAGGCTAGAGCCTCAATAAAGTGCATTGAATTGGTGGTGCGTGGGTATAATCATCTTAAGAATCATGCCCTGAGTTTCAGGGCAGCTGACTAGCTGGTGACTAGCAATCTTAGCGTTATGTTGTGGAAGGCCTTTCGACACGGGCCTAATATTGATTGATTAATAATGATCTATGAATCATCACCAATTGTTGGACTCGGCCTGACCGAAAGGCCGATGGTCTAGGTGATACAGGTATCACTCAGTATCGTATACCATATAAGTGTGCTACAACACTCAATCTTCCAAGTCCAGTCAGTACCATGGTAGCACAGTTATGACTCAACAAAATGATGTAGCGTGTTATTTTCAAGGGAAAATATGAAAATAGAATTGAAAAACAAACGCTAAAGTTCAGACTTTCGAACCGCACATGCATTAGCCTGTGACTGTTGCGGAGTATTACATCGCCTTTGTGAGGGAGATTAAGCTAGCCAAAAAGGGTAGTCCTGATGCTGTACTTAGGTAAGGTTCCAGTTTGGGTTCCAGCTCAGGTGGTTGTTGTATGAGATACCCGTGTATGAACAATATACTGTACTGTACTGTAATTTGTAATTGAGATTGTTACAGACCATGACACACGGTATGATAGGCAGATCTCAGCCCGAACTCCGATGGTTGTATAGCTGAGACCAGTCACATAAATAACATGCGGTAAGTCCGTGACTGAGGCGTGAATGATAGTAACTTACTCCGTAACTATCTCAAGCAGTAAGTTACGTCGTAGTCTTCCTCCTTCATTCTTCTCCTCATTCCCCCGCTGCCGTAAGGCCACCCGTGGTGGCTTCTTGATAAGAAGCTTCATCTATGATTTCAGTCGTAATCAACCAATAACTGAGCCAGTTCTTTTAGCATGAGTACGTTCAGCAGGGAATATGATTGTATGGCATGCTTTTCTCCCCCTTCCGTTTTCATCTCATTTTAAATTTCTTTTTCTTCGGCTCGATTTCCCCCCTTTGTCGCTTCAAAAGAAATGGTCTCGGTAGGACGGCTATTCGAAAGGCCGATACGGAGTAGCGTATCTACCGACTCATCCGAACCATGCGCCAAAGAGATCCAAGTCAGAACCGAGCTGAAGTTGGAGAAGTGGAACCATGCCAATGGCAGGACCCGGGGGGGCCAGAGGGAGGTGGGGGGGGGGCGCACCAGCAGCGGGCGGTTGTCAAGCGGGATGTGAGGTGGACAAACAGAGTTGCGGCTCCTCCAAATCCAAACAACCAGAAAACAAGCACCGGGCATGGGCCAGTTTCATCTTGACCCATGACATCGCTCACCCCACCTGTGCAGGCAGAGCAGACTGAACACAGCTTTGCCTCGCTAGTTACGGAGTTCTAGGGTGATTAAGGATCAATTAGTATTGCTGTAGGTCAAACATTTGAGTTACAGTGGATTACAGCATAACTTACAAGAGCTGAGACAGGTGTTCTCCATACTCCGTAGACTGGAGGCCAACTAGTACTGTAAATCACTGCCCGCGGAACGGATCCTGCCGGCACGTTGCTGCCTGGTAATCTTGTCTAAGTGCTGACTTTTTGATGGAGTCACTGTCTAGTCTACGTAGGCTCTAGGCATCCATACGATAACGTACTGGCTGGTCTAGTCGAGAGCTATAAGGCAGTAAGTTTAGAAACAGCAATCTTCTTGAGGCGTAGAAGGTATCTTAGAATCGCCTCCGATCATTTGTGCATACCAAGGTACTGTACATGGGAAAAGGTAGTGCACTGTACTAAATAGGTAGGATGGGTAGTATGCCCGTGCAGTGCAGTGCGTGTCGGCTGAGTATGTATACGCATACGTACTGTACTGTACTGTAATTCCAACGTACCTGTCAGGTGGGTACTGGCCATGGTTGCCTGGTGGGGGTCAAGATGTCAACGTGCTGGTTGGTTTGCTCGCATAAACATGGGCTCCGGGCTCGGAAACTAAGATGGTCAAGGAGCCCTGAGTTGGTTTGGAACTTAGTTGGCGCTGCTTTCGGACATTCATGGAGGGATTATTATAAATCATAGACCACTTACAAGATCGGAGCCGGGTCTGGACAGCGCGACCTTCCGAGGTGAAATTCGCGCAGGACAGGGTGTGAACTGTGAAAGGGTTCAAAATGGATAGCGGCTCGGTGGGGCCGTGAGCTGTGCGTATTACAAATTCTACCTGTATCAGTCAGTGAGTGAGTTTACTTCCCTAGTTGATGGCACGCCAGCATGTGTTGGAATGATTCATCGGTGATGGGGTCTTCGAGATCTTCTATGGTAACTCAACAAACCACGTGTTCTGTTTGCTCCAAGAATGCTACAGAAGCCTGAATCTCAGTTGGCTAGCGACGAGATGACAAGCATACCCTTTGGAAACAGTTCTCATCCGGTCCAATGTAAGTTCCATCTTTTATGTGGAGTTTCTATTTATGCCCTGCAAAACATCCCGATGGAAGGCTTCCAGTAGGGTGACATCACCTAAATGCTACTGTGCTCGTTATATGCTGGCCTCAATTATCCAGTGTGCGGTCGCTAGAATGTCAATGTGGGACTTTTTCTATCTCCTGAGACCTAGCGTCACCGTTCAGCTTTATCTCAGTTTGTTTGCTTAGACTTGAACATGATGGCTCTGTGGCTATGCTTGCCGTGCGTTTGGCCCCGGCACGGCGCCTTTGAAACTGGTATACAGCGAAATCTCCGTCCGGAACAGAACCACGGTCTTTCAGGAGCTCTGAAAAGATGAGTTTCCACCGTCCTAGCCTCAGGTAGCGCTCGGGAATTGACCATGACATATTGTTGTTCTTGTGTTCTTAGTCCATCAGAACCGCCATTAGCCTTACAACGCCCCTTGATGAGATCCAAACAAACGTTTTGATACGTCCATGAGAGACGACAAAGACACACACGCACACACACGCGCATGTAATGATAGTATAAAGCATATCAACTCCTATCCTTTAAATCTGACTCTATAGGACGTAGCTGTGAAAATCGTTAGCAGTCTTGCAAAAACCGTATTCAAGTCGGTAGAAGAATTCTCACCTCCACGGATGCTCCTCGTCACCATACTGAATACCCTCAATCCAGTTCTTCATTTGCAAAGCGATTTCCCCAGCCTCCTCGTTTTCCTTCAGACCGCAGTCGACAAGCTCACCCTTGTAGCTGATCTTTCGTACAGGGCTCACAATAGCTGCGGTTCCGGCTCCAAAGACCTCAATGAGCCTTCCCTCCTGGGCTGCTTCAGCAAGCTCGGTCATCCTGACTTTGCGCTCTGCGACGGCCCACCCCTTTGGCACCAATCTTTCCCTTGCCAGAGCCAACACCGAATCTCTAGTGACACCTTCAAGAATTGTGCCATCTAATGGTGCTGTCACCAGCTCCTTCTGACCAGTTTCCTTGTTCTTCATTGCGACGAAAAGATTCATTGTGCCAACTTCAGTGATATATTCCTCTTCTCCAAAGAGCCAAAGGTTCTGCTGGAAGCCCCGAGAGGCAGCTTCGAGTTGAGGCAGAACACAAGGAGCGTAATTCGCACCTAGCTTCTTGTCTCCCACACCACCGGGCCAAGCGCGGACTGCATAGTCGGTGGCCTCAAGAGAAATAGCCTTGAAGCCGGTAGGGTAGTAAGGGCCGACAGGGCTTGCGATCACGAATAGAAGGGCGGAACCTGGGGGTCCGACACCAAGAGTCTTTTGAGTGCCGATCATCGTGGGACGCAGGTATAGCGAGTATCCTCGAGCACTAGGAGAGCAAGGGTTAGCCATGACTAAGAGTTGCTAATCGAGGAATTGTAATCGCGCTAACTCGGGGATGAATCTGCTGTCCAATTTCACAAATTCTCCGATCAGTTTGGTCAGAGCCTCGCCGTCGAAGGTGGGCAACGCAATTCTGGAAGACGACTTGTTCAAACGCGCCATATTCTTGTTCGGGCGGAACAGCCGGATCTGGCCTTTGTTGTCTTTGTATGCCTTCATACCTTCGAAGCACTCGAATGCATAGTGAAGCACACAGGCTGAGGGATCGAGGCTCAGGTTCTGGTACGGAACGATCTGAGGGGTGTGCCAGCCATCAGCCGCTGTCCATTCAATCGAAAGCATGTGATCTAAGGGCGAGAGAACGTTAGCGGAAATCAGAAACGAACCGTGTCAGTCGTTGCCAATGCAGAATGTCCATACCAGTGAAGGTCTTTCCGAAGACAAGGTCCTTGGCAGCCGTCAACTCTTTGGGCGTGCTCGTCTTGGTGACTGTAAGCTTGGAAGGATCAAGGCCGGCTAATCTGGAAGCAGCAGTTGGTGTTGCGCTGAAGCATCTCTTCCATAATTGACTCAGTGCGGAGTTTTGAGAGGCCCCAGGGGCAACGAAGCTTTGTAGTAACGCCCGACGATGGGCAACCTGGAAAGATCGCATCGTGAAGTGATCCGCAAACAATGTGAAGATAATGAGGTAGAGAACACTCAGTCAATCCTGTGCTGCACGATGACCAAAGACTATTAAGGTTATTTTGGGGAGGCGGTTGCGGAGCTTTAAAGTGAGCGGAGAAAAGCACTTGATGACTCTTTTTCAACGGACCCCGGGCACAACTCCGGAAGATCCACAGATAAAGGACTAGTTAGTATCTGGAGATGGCTTTGGCCCAGACCACAGATCGAAACGCGAGGCCACGATTTCTAAGTCAAATTGGCACCAATTGTGCTCTCACAGATCACGGCTGGGTCTAAGCTATGTGACTTGTTCGCCCTGAGATCAATTGACTATCGCGCTGTCATTGGAGGCAAGGTTCCGACGTCGGCGTCGAGCGGCACAGATACCCGGCAATAATCGATCTAGAAAGGCGGTCAGTAAAAAGAGTTGTTAGCCCTGGCCCCAGCCCAGGCCAACCACTAATTTAGGCCTGGGGTGCACGTGACATAGGCCTCGGGCGGGCAGCTGCCCGCCCGAGTGATAACTAACTTATCCAAGTGGAATGCCATACATGGCATGAATAGAGAAAGGGAAGAGGAGAAAGAGATTGGAAAATCTGGAGCAACAATACGGCGACCTTGACTCTACTCTTGAACTGAGGAGACTTTTTTAAACCTCAGTTCATGAATTATTCTATTCCTGTCCATATACTTCCCCCTTTCCCGATTCATTGCTGCGTCATCATTTTATTCCTCTTGCAAGCTCGTGATATCTCAATTCCCCGAATATACGCCCTCCCGCATAAGCTTCGCTTTGGATGCATTGGAAATAGTCAATAGTGTCTTGTGTGCTCGCAAACGGTTATAAATCTGGGTTGATAGGCGAAAATGTTCTCATCTGCGCTCAAATCTCTGAGCTCTAACATAACATCAAACTATCAAGTTTCTCCCCACCCAACCTTGGTTTCAGGACCGTGGAAGATCCATGACGGCAAGAAGAAGTCCACAGGCACATCGGCTTCGATCTTTATCTTCGATAAGAAGGCTCTCGAGATCCGTTCAAGCGGGCTAGGCAGTCGCTCGAGTGCTTCCACTAAAAAGTTGCAGGAAGATGTTGTTGAGCGACTGAAGCGAGAAGCCGGCACTCTTGCACGCCTTCGACATCCCTCTGTTCTTCAGGTTTTAGAACCTCTGGAAGAAACTCGTGGCGGCGGGCTTATGTTTGCTACCGAACAGGTTACTGCCTCTCTTGCTGGACTTTTGCAGGCCAAAGATACTCAAGAGAGCTCTGGCAGGGCCGCATCTGATGCCCGCCGCGGAGGGTCTAGCCGTTACATGGTGGAGGATCCTGATGGAACGCGGAGGCGACGAGATCTTGATCTTGATGAGCTAGAAATCCAGAAAGGTCTGTTGCAAGTGGCAAAAGGTCTCGAGTTTCTGCACGAATCGGCAGGGCTCGTTCACGGAAATCTTAATCCCGAAGCCGTCTTCATCAATGCTAAATCGGACTGGAAGATCTCTGGGCTTGGGTTTGCTGGCCCGCCAACTGCATCGGATTCACGATCGACGCTTCCACCGCTTGCCTTGTCAGAAGTGCTCTATCAAGATCCCCGTTTACCAACGTCAGTCCAGTTGAACATGGACTATACCTCTCCGGACTTTGTGTTGGACTCCAATGTCACACCCGCCGCCGACCTTTTCTCACTTGGTCTAGTGATTGTGGCGCTCTATAACTCACCCCATGTATCTCCATTGCAGACACACTCAAATGTGAACACATACAAGAAGCTCCTTAGCTCTTCCTCAACCACCCCTTCCCAAGGCAACAACTTCTTGTCTTCGGGCACAATCCCAAGAGACATCCTCACTCATGTACTACCCAGATTGATAACTCGAAGGCCAGCCCAGCGACTAAATGCTCGGGAATTCCAGCAATCCCCCTACTTCGACAATATTCTGGTTTCAACAATCCGTTTCCTGGAGTCTCTGCCAGCAAAGAACCCGAATGAGAAATCGCAATTCATGCGCGGCTTGCAACGAGTATTACCCGAGTTCCCAGTGTCTGTATTGGAAAGAAAAGTCTTGGGAGCTCTATTAGACGAGATGAAGGATCGTGAGCTTCTTCCTCTTGTCTTAGGCAATGTTTTTGCCATCCTTCAACGCATCCCCAGTGCGCTGCGCATATTCCCCGATAGGGTAATACCCCAGCTGAAAGAGACCTTTCCGGCTGGTAAGGGGCCTCACCAGGAGCGTGACTCCAAGAAGGATGCAGGGTTGATGGTGGTCCTGGACAACATGAACATTGTTGCTAAAAATTGCCCCGGGAAGGAGTTCAAGGAAGGTCAGTAACATGTCAATGTTTCCAATGTGCCTATGTGACATAACCGGATTCTAATTTGAACAGATATTTTGCCCTTGATCCGCCTGGGACTTGACTCACCGACACACTCGTTGGTAGATGGTGCAATCAAATGTCTTCCCGTCATTCTACCCGTTCTCGACTTTAGCACTGTCAAGAATGAGGTCTTTCCGCCGATTGCTGCAACCTTCAGTCGCACGAATAGCCTTGCCATCAAAGTGCGCTGCTTGGAGGCGTTCGCTATTCTCTGTGGCGGTACTGTGAACTCCGAAGAAGCTCTAGGAGATGACTTGACAGGTGTTGGTCCAGGCAGCGTACCGCAGTCGAGTAAGTCATCGATTCTGGACAAGTACACGATACAAGAGAAACTTGTTCCATCACTGAAGGCCATCAAAACAAAAGAGCCAGCTGTCATGATGGCAGCACTGAATGTGTTCCGACAAGTTGGAACAGTGGCAGATACCGAATTCCTTGCTTTGGAACTTCTCCCAGTCTTATGGAGCTTCAGCCTCGGACCTCTCCTCGATCTTCGCCAATTCGGCGGTTTCATGCGCTTGATCAAAGATCTTTCCTCGAAAGTCGAACGTGAACAGACAAAGAAGCTGCAGGAACTTTCTTCGGCAGGCGACAATACCAAGTTTCAGAATAGCGCAGTAGGATTTTCCCAATCGGCAGGTGACTTGAATCAAACTAGCGCCGATGCACAAGAGACCTTTGAGCGTCTGGTCCTGGGACGGAACCCTAACAGCCTCAATGGCCAAGATACCGATCTATGGAGTACTGCCTCTGCAGAGCCCGCAACAAAACGGCCTCCCATTGCAAGCACTTCATCCACCGGGATATCCTGGTCGCCAAGCGTTGCTAGCCCTGTTTCCAAAGGAGGCATGCTACCAACACTATCAAATCTCAGCATGCGGTCGGTCACACCTGACTACAACCTTAGCTCCTTTCCCTCCTTGCAACCTGCTGCTAGAACAAACTCGCCCTCAACTCCAGCAGCTCCTACGTTGCCGATTTCTCCTCCCGCCCTTCAATCTTGGACCTCACCGGGTTCCTCAAACCCTCAACAGCCTCTTCCGGGGTCAAGGGCTTCGAGCAATGGCTTAGGATCCTTGTCCAGTCTCAGGGTCAATAATAGTATCTCTGGACAAGGATCGCAATCTACTCCCAACTATGCTGCGTTCTCAATTCCTCCCCCGCCAGCCGGGCTGGGCCAAGTCGGCTCCCTGACGAACCCCACTGCAGCGCCGAATCCCGTGCGATCCCCTTTCAGTGGTAATATCACACCCACCGCTTCCTTCAGCAATACTTCAGTTCCACCGCAAGGGATGCAAAAACAGGGCCTTGACAAGTATGAGAGTTTGCTATGAGATGTATGGCCTGTGTTGTTGCGTGAATCCGTTCGTCTTCTTCCAACCTTTAGCGTTCGATATCCTACCGAGTTGCTGGATGTGTGATTGCAAGCACCACAAATGGATGCAATTTGCCCACATACCACTGCCCAATTATAAATGTAACGTACGACTTGGACTGGTAGCGAAAGAAAAAAAGAACAAAAACAAAAACAAAACAAAACAAGTGGCCTCTGGTTGTTCTGCATATGTTACGAGGTATGGCAATAGCTGATCTAAAAAGATTGCTATCCAGTACATATCAAGTCTCTCTCAGAAGCTTTGCACCCATAGATTTGGCTGACCAAGGCTTAGTGAGGTATCTCACCACTATGTATATGAGTATGTTTACTAAAAGAATACGGAGATATCTACGGAGCACCTAGACTAGTCTAGTACGCGGTACGCTGACCGAACAGAGTGGACCTTTCAGAGGGGTTAGCCCAAAGCTCCACTTCTGCCAAGCACCCTCAATTGGTAGAAAGCTTAGACTTGAAAGGTGACGGGCGTCGGGGAGGAACTCAGCTCAGACACCCCGGGCTCGCGAGTTGCTACAAATGCACTCTCTTCGAAGCGCCTGGAGGCGCTTCCCGTCGGGCCACCGCCACCCCTCTTGCTTCCGATTACCGCACTTACCCCTCAATCCTTACCATCCCATCCGGTGCTCCTCTTCGTCCCGGCCCAGCAACCTGTCCTCTACAATTCCCCTTGCCAGTGCAGAACCCTCAGTAACAGCAACGACAACATCAACATCATCACCGCCGATCAACATGGATGACAAAGTGAAGCAACACTATTTGGCTGACTCGCCTCCCTCAGTAGTGCGCTTAGAAATCAAGACACATTTCGATACTCTAAAGGATGCAAAGCTGCGTAAATACGCGCATTATATGAGCCGGTTCGCTGCCAACTTTCTATCAGGGCGGCCACGTCCCGGTGAAGCTAACATGAGCAACTTCTCTCTAGCGCCGCCTTTGAAGGAACTCGAATCACCCTTCGCCAGGTTTCCCCAGAGTCAGAACCCATCTATGACCTCATCGTTGAACTTCACCGGGCCTGCAATGGAGACTGGACCGACCTTGCTCGGAGAACCGATGTCAGCGACGAGCATCTTCGCTACTTCCTGGAATATGCTGCGCAGTTCCTCGGCAACTGTGGCAACTATAAGGGCTTTGGCGACTCGAAGTTTATTCCCCGCTTGCCTGTTGAGGCCTTCCAAGCTTTAGCTTCTGCCTCCCCCCGGACAAAGGACGCCTTCAGTCGGGCCAACCGCACAGGAGGTGGCATTTATGAGACAGATGTACAATCGCGTATGCACCTGGGTTACGCAGAGGGAAACCATATGACCACATATTATCCTGATTCGCCATCAATCACCAAAGAAGAAATCACAGCCGTCGGTGACTTTTTGGAGCAAAAAGGGCTGCCGTTGGAGAATACGCGACTGAAGAAAACAGAGACTGGGGATTTCGAACTTCTAATCGCTTCCGGTGTTTCGTCACCCCCGGCACGGGACCGAGATTTGGGCGATGTCGATAGCCTCGACCTCGATGGCAAGTTGAAGGGCCACAAGCTTCGCCTCGTCTTTGGTGACCATCGAGAGGAGATGGCAAAAGTCGCTCACAGTATCAAGCAGGCTTCGCTGCATGCTGCCAACGATAATCAGAAGCGGATGTTAGATGCCTACGCTCTCTCATTTGGTTCTGGCTCTATCGAGGCATTCAAGGAAAGCCAGCGGATCTGGGTAAAGGACCAGAAGCCAGCATTAGAGACCAATCTGGGTTTCGTCGAAACCTACAGGGATCCGCATGGGGTGAGAGGAGAATGGGAAGGATTTGTTGCTCTGGTACGAGTTTCTGCTCAAAATGTTATTGATGTATTACACTTTGGTTCACTGGCTAACTCGAACAGGTCAATTTGGAGCGAACCCGCGCTTTCGGCAAGCTGGTTGACAGTGCTGAGACCATGATTCCTAAATTACCGTGGGGTAAAGAGTTTGAGAAGGATAAGTTTCTCAGCCCCGACTTCACGTCTCTTGAGGTGTTGAGCTTCCAATGCTCTGGCCTCCCAGCTGGAATCAACCTCCCCAATTATGATGACATTCGGCAAACACTTGGGTTCAAGAACGTTTCCCTTGGGAACGTTCTGAGTGCTAAAGCCCCCAACGAGCCTATCCCATTCATCGCCGATAAAGACCTCAAAGTATACAGCGAAAACCGTGATGCTGCGTTTGAGGTTCAGGTTGGCATTCATGAGCTGCTTGGTCATGGATCTGGAAAGCTGCTGCAAGAGACGTCTGCTGGAAATTACAATTTCGACATTTCCAACCCTCCTGTAAGTCCAGTGACTAACAAGCCTGTCACGACGTGGTACAAGCCTGGCCAAACTTGGGGCTCCGTGTTCGGGGCCGTCTCTTCGTCTTACGAGGAGTGTCGTGCAGAATGCGTTGCAATGGTGCTTAGTTGCGACTTTGAGATTCTGAAGCTCTTCGGGTTTGGTGACGGCCAGGTGGACCTTGCGAACGGTGCTGGTGATGTCCTCTTTGCGGGATACTTGTCGATGGCTCGTGCCGGTTTGGTTGCACTCGAATTTTGGGATCCCAAGACCCAGAAGTGGGGACAGGCTCACATGCAGGCCCGCTACAGTATCTTACGAACCTTCCTCGATGCTGGTGACGATTTCGTCAAGCTTTCCTACAGCAAACCAGATCTTTCCGATCTCGAGATTCATCTGGATCGGTCGAAAATCCTGTCACATGGCCGACCTGCTGTGGAGAAATACCTGCAGAAATTGCATGTGTACAAGAGCACTGCGGACTTCGCCTCAGGCAAGAAGCTCTATGATGAGATCACATCTGTCGATGCGTGGTGGGGCAACGAAGTCCGCGAGGTGGTGTTGAAGAATAAGGTTCCTCGCAAGATTTTCGTCCAGGCGAACACCATCCTCGACGGAGACGAGGTGACGCTCAAAGAGTACGAACCGACCCTCGAGGGTATTATCCAGAGTTACGTTGAGCGCGATGTTTAAACATTCCGTCTGCGGACCGCATCGGTATCATGCTTGTTCTAGACACTAGGTCCCGGCCATCGGATGAATCATAATCAGCCTGTGTCCAAGGCATGTAGAGCATGTGCGGGTTCAGAATTTGTCAAACAACCAAATCAAGCGGTAAATATGGCTCACGCCAGTCTATACTCTCAAGGCAAGCCGTCAAGGCAAGCAGCGTTGGCGGTTGAAGTAAGCCATTCAAGCAGGCCACCAGGGCAATTTACAGTAGCGCTTGCGGTACAAGTAAGCACAAGCGAGGTGGTTCATACGAGTAGGAAGAGTGCGTGCGAGCAAGGGTTCATACTATGTATATCAAACCAAGCGGCGAAGGCAAATTGGCTTTAATTTGGTAACTTAGTAGTTCAAAGTAACTAATTAAGTTACTATTTTTAAAGGTAGGCAGCCCAGGAAAGCATCTCTGAAGATGAGTCGAAAATGAGACTGAAGATAAAGGTGAGATATACGCTACTCTATCTCTAGTATAGAATCCAAAGCACTAATCAGTGTATAACTATGGTGGGTAATTGCAGTGGATGGTCATGTGACCAGGGACTGAACCAAGCATCTCTCCAGGCTCACTGAGCAGGAGCTTTTTAGCTTCTTAAATGCGCGCAAAGTAGCCATAGGTACATACAGTACTTACTACCCACACTTCGTATGTTCAGTCACTACTCCGTCAATGCAATGGGAACGGGGCAGGGGGCCAGCGACCACTTTGGTCAGTTAGCTACTCATGTAGTTACCCTAGCTTACTAGTACCGCCTGAGTTAGTACTACTGTACGTTCCGACCTTGGTGGTAACTCAGTAGTTACCCGCGCGCTCAGGGCCGTTATCATTATTATAAACTACTGCGTAACTACTGCTTTGCTGCTGCCCTGCCCGCTCTCCCTCCCTAAACGCTCCCTGCCGCCTTTCCACCTCTCCTCTCCTTCTTCTTCCACTCCCACTCCCACTCCTCTCTCTCTCTCTCTCTCTCTCTCTCTTCACATTCCTCAGTGTCACCTCCGCTCAAACTAGTAATCCGTCTACAGATACCCCCCCCCCACAGTCTAATTCTGCTATTTCGCTATCTCGCTATCTCTGATTTTGCTGGCATTCTCTCTAATAGAACCATAAAGGTCGAATCTAACTACCAATCTGAACTATTATGTGCCAATACCTTGAATGATACAGATCGAGGCACCCACCGAAGAAGACGCCTCCTGATCATCACACATCTGAGTTTCCTACGACCGACGACTATCCAGTAGACGATCGGCAAAATCCTTCACAACGACAGACGCTGAGCGCTCACCTCCTGATTCTGCCACAGACTTCGTCACCTTGTCGTGGTTACCGAATTCCTCTGGCTCGCCTTCCACGGCGCGGCCGCATCATCGAACGACGGACTCCGTAACGGAGGAAGACCAGGACGAGGACGACTTCTATACTGCACCACCGCCCCACTCTCCTTGCTCGGAGGCTTCCACTTCCAGCTTCTTTTCGTCAAACCCTCCTCCTTTCTCGTCTCTTGTTTTCAACGCGGCGTCTGATTCCAATCGCGCAAAGGGCCCTGTCACCCCGTCCGGCTCCGCCCTCAACCCAGCCCTCGTTACTCCCCTAGTCGACGAGCATCTCAGACCGGAACCATCAACATCTTTAGTCGCCGAAGTTAAAGCCTCGCTCTCTCGAGACATCAAACCAGATTCCTCAGCGAAGTCAGCGGAAGACGGCGAGCCTCCTCCACCATATACCGAAGGATCAAGTCCGCTCGAATCTTTCACGTACGTCATGGCTGCCGCCGGAGGCGCGTCGAGTATCATCACCCAGGTACAACAAGCTGGAGGGCCGCCGATCAATACATTAGGAGGTATGCAAATTCATTGGTTCTCTGCACCCGGTCAAATAGTCCGAGGCTGATTCGTGCTATCTACAGACATTGGTGGCGATGAGCACATTACTCTAGACCTTAGGTATGCGCATTTATTCTTCTCTTCGCAAGCAGTTAGCGTCTTGATCCCGTGGCACTGACATGCCCGAAGAGGTACTCGATTTACACTTTCCCGTGATGAACTGTTGACGTTGCCGGAATTTGTTCTTCTGTCGCTGTTTCCGAACGGCCTCCTCCCTGATGGACATATGGGCACTTTCCACGAAGGTGACATTTACCCTGTTGACGTAAGTGATTCCTAGCCGGCGTACCTGTGGCCTTGACCCTGGCTCCACAGTCCTCGGGCCCTATATCTCATATTGTCATCTTCAGTACGATCCGGCTTCTTTACAGTACATGCTGGATTTCTTCCGCTCGGTTGCCCAGTCAATTCCGTCTTCTTCGCCTTCCCCTTCGACCTCCCAAGATGTGGATATCGCCCCCGATTCCATGCAGGCATCTGCCAGGGACATGCTTCAAGATCGGGCTGGCATCATTGTCTTGCGCGAAGATTTAGACTTCTACGCGATACCTCCTCGCCCTGACATAGATCATGCAGAGATGATGGAAGTCAAGCGCGCGGCTGCGAAAGCTTTGCTGAAGCAGGATGGAATATTCTCTGGTTTGAGGAAAAGCGACGAAGCAGGTTCAACGGAGCAACACCTGATTGAGATGCTCACTGCTGGGTAAGCTCTCCACATGTCCCATGCCCAAGGAACTCAGTGCATGCTAATGATACCCAGCGGGTTTGATCGTGATGATCGATGGGGCCACCGTGCTCCGGAGCCTAATAAGGCAGTCATCTGTAGCTTGGCATTAGCCAAGCTTCGAACCGACATTCGAAGTGATCTGGAGAATAACAACGCGGTGGGAATGGCTCAAAAGCTCCTTCTCTTTTGGCGGAAACCAGCAAGAAGATGTTGGTGGGAAGGTGTTGAGCTACATGATGTTGAAGGGGTAGACGGCAAGGTTAAAATCTGGATTCGGCGAGTATGGACACTGGAAATGGTAAGACTTTCCCGCAAAATTCCGGATCTATATGAGCTTGGCTGACGATGTTGTAGAGCGTAATTGGGCTCCGGTAGCCAGATGCAGTAATTTCTTCTCTTTCTTGTTTATTATACTTCCCCAAGCATCTATATCGATTGTTCCTTAGCCGTAAATTGCATTTGTCTCCCGACGTTGTTGGTGCATGTTAGATCTTCTATTTGTGAAGTTGGCGACTCCCAATAAAGTCCGAGTCTGCTCAACTGCAGCATGGTAGGCAAGGGAAATGGCCCTTCACTTCTTAGGTAGGTCTTTAGCATTGCCTGTGAGACTTTGTAATAATTCTCAACAAGGTAAGGTAGGCTGGAAGCGTCGCCTTCTAACAAGGTGAAAGGGCTTCAGGGCCATTACAGGCTACACGCTCAAAACCACATCAGATTTTTGAGTCGAATCATGTAGAGACTTCTTGTGTTTTATCAGCGCAAGCAGATCTGCTATCGTCACTGATGGAGATGCGAGCAAGACCATCACATATCATCACGTGCGTGTTTTGACTGGAAAAGGACTAGCGCCGGCCTAGGGGAATCTCTGCCGGCAAAGCGCGACGACCAGAAAAGGCGGAGGTCAGACCGCGATCACCGTCTAGAGGGCCTTAGCATCATTTTGATTACAACCATTTCCACTCCGTTCACTTTGTCGCGCAAACCAACTTGCCGGTGCGCATTCCTATCGACTTGCGATCTTGGGTCTACTTTCTATATCCACGGTTTTCTACTGTTGTCAGTAACAGTCGCTTCTTCCCTTTGTCGCGTTCAAACATTGGTGAATCTGTTCGCCAGTCGACTTTTGCAGTGACTGAAAGGGACATGTCATTGACCAGCTATATGGCCAACATGTCCCCTCTCAGAGGCTACATCACATCTTATCCTCCGCGTCTACGCCAATACGGAAACGCCTTGCTTACGCCCGTAATCGCGCCAAGTCAGGCCGGTCCGGCGCCGCGAACCAAGCGAGGAACTGCGGCCATCAATTATGCAGAAGACGGCTTTGATGATGAGGACTTCGATGACAGTGAAGGTCCTCGGCGTCCCACGGGGCTACGGAGTCTCCGACGAGAGGACTCGACTTTCGACAAGGTCCCTTTGGCGGAAAAGCTGGGGAAAGAGGTACATGCTCCTGTGGAGGTTCAAGGGGTATTCCGTGACTGGATGATCAAGCGAATGTTGCGACCAGCGTATGTCCAGACCTCACTTTTTCCGCTTCAGATGGGCTTCTTTGCAAGCGCTAACTCTACGGTTCCTTTTGCGCCTCGTCCAGCTGTGCCGATCAATTGCAGATCCAGGCGCAACTACCTCTCACCCTTATACCCATTCGAATTGACTTGGAGGTCCCTGCGCATCAACCTCTCGAAGCGTTTCCCCAGCCGCGAACCATGCTCGATCCTGGAATCACAACCACCCTACCTGCATATCGAAAGCAGGACCCATTACCAGCCTACCGAATCAAGGATACTTTTCTTTGGAACCTCCACGAAGCTCTCGCCACCCCCGAAGAATTCGCAATCGGGTTTGTTCGCGACATGGACTTACCCAACCCGCAGGCGATGACGATGGCCATCAGCAACCAAATACGTCAACAATTGGAAGAATACGCCGGTGTTGCCCTGCATCCCTTGTTTCAAAGCGTACCAAGCAAGCCAGCTGCTTTGCCGTCAGCCATATCAAGGGATGTGTCTGCTACACCCACTCTAACCTACGCCGCTACGCCCGACAGCAGGGCCAACCAGGTGACGGTAACGAAGGAACCGTTGATCAATGACAGTTTATTGAATCCCGATGACGCATACAGATGCATGATCAATCTGAACATCAACTTGCAGAACAAACTGTACACAGACAAATTCGAATGGTCACTGTTGCATCCTCCCGGCATGGCGGAAGAGTTCGCTAGGATCACCTGCGCGGATCTAGGTCTCGGTGGAGAATGGGTAGGAACCATTGCCCACGGCATTTACGAGGCAGTACTCAAGCTGAAGAAAGAAGTGTGTGAAAGTGGCGGGCTGATTAGTAGCATGGGTGGCTACGGAAACGAGATTGACAACCAAGCAGCCAATGGGGCCGAGGCGGGCTGGCGATATGACCCTGAAGGGCTGGGTGATGATTGGGAACCAAAGGTCGAAACACTGTCCAAGGAGGAGATTGAGAAGCGCGAAGGCGACCGTGAGCGGCAAATCAGACGTCTTCGGCGAGAGACTGCCAGATTCTCTTCGACTGCGGGCATCACACCAGAGGCTTCCCGACAAGGAAGTGGCTATTTTGATGTCGACAGTGAAACTCCGTTGGGCAGAGGCGAGAGGAGCAAGCGCAAGAGGCGGTTCCGTAGTCTGAGCCCGGCCGGTCGGGGCGGAACGCCCGGGGGTCGAGGCACACCGGATACCGGGTCCGGGGCAGGTTACGGTGGAGGTGGTGGAACACTTTCGGAATGGTCTGTCGTCTCTCTATCCCTCATCTGCGATGCCTTTGCGGTTGTCACATCACTAACACCCGATCGGCAGGGAGCGACAAAATTGGCGATGCACGAATTGCTTGGTATGGGGTACGGCAGTCTGGGCTGTACGAGATGGACCGACGGGCCCAAGGGTAAGAAAGATGCATTTACTCCCTTTGACTCGGTTGCGTTCCCAGCTGACCTGCATCAATCAAACAGACGCTCTGTCACAATTGTGGGTTGCTGTACGAACGGGATAAGATTGCGCCGGAGTGGTCAAGAGATCTGCATCGTCATGATATGCCAATTGGACGGTAGTATCTGGGTTTAGCATGAGGTGAATATGACAAGAATCACACGCAGTCCAGAGAGATGAATTCACCTGACGGGGGATTTGATTCACGATGAGGAACAGATTAATTATCTAATATAACAAGAGCATAAACTCTGGCAAGACCAACTTGCTCCATATTTGACCATGCACAAATTCCCCAGCCAAACTCGTTCCGCTCTACTACTGACCAGCACCATCCAGCCCCTTGGTGATGGTGTTGACATACTCCGCAGCGTCCATCCCCAACTTGGCCAGGTCCACCCCGCCCTGCCCCGCCATGGCGCGCGACATGGCACGAACCACCTCCTCTTCCTCCCAGATCGAGGTCGGTGCCGCCGACGAGGCAGCCGGCGCCCCAGGTCCATCTTCGCTCGCCCGGAGCGCCGGGTTGTCGACATTCAGCGCCACCACGGTCCGCCAGTAGGCATCGTCGCGATCCTTGAGCGCCCTGTCACGCACGACCGTGCTGCGGGTGACGCTCAGGGCGTGCAGCTTGGAGGTGGCGCCGCCGAGCGCGGACAGCGCCGTGGAGACCAGCTGGCCGACCTGCTCGGCCTGGGACGGCGGCGCGTAGAAGAACCGCCGGGAGGCGGCGAGGTAGATCAGCAGCGCACCGACCGCATCCACGACGGCGAAGGCGAGCGGCCGCAGCAGGCCCAGCTGGTAGTACGCGGCAGTGGGGACGGTGGCGCCGGCGCGCAGGGCCGCGGGCCCGGTCTGCACGGGATCGTAGCGGAAGACCAGGTAGAGATCGAGCAGGGCCAGCGCGCACCCGGCGAGCGTGAACTTGTTGCGCCAGCGGCTGGCGTCCGGGCCCGTGAGCGGCGCGGCGGTGGCGGCGCCCAGGATGGCCAGGTGGAACAGGTGCGGGAGCAGGACGTGGCTCGGGAGGTAGTAGAGGATGTAGGTGGTGGGGTTGTCGAGCGAGCAGAACTGGCAGCGGGCCAGGGCGTCCGGGCCGAAGCGCAGGTAGAGCTTGCGCGCCGGCAGCGAGGTGAGTTTCGTCTTCAGCAGCAGGTCGGTCGCCGTCAGGGTGTTCTCCGGGCGCAGGCGCGCCAGGCGCGCGAACAGCACGTCGCTGGCCGTGTTGATGCGCGAGTGCGTGAGCGTGAAGATGCTCTGCGGCGGGGCCCGCGGGCTGAAGGGCAGGCTGAGCAGGAAGAAGAAGGTGATGGAGAAGAAGAGGAGATTCAGCGCGCGCGCGGCATCGTGGGGCACGGGTCGAGGCGGGGGTCTGGTCGCTATCGACACGCGCAGGCTGCGGTAGAGGTTGATGGCGCGTGGAATTATGATGGGCGCGAAGAAGATGAGGAATGACTTTATGCTGTGGTTGCCAGGATTCGTGTTGGTTATTGACAATGTAAAAGAAGGGGGAAGGGGGAGGGGTAGGTGATACATACGTTGCAAACGAGATCCCGAGTTCAACCATCTTGTCAATGTCTTGTGTGGTGAGGGGGAAGTTGTCGCATCGAGCGGACAATTACTTGCTTTGCTCTTTCTTGTGAAGCAGATGCGTTGCAGTGTTCCAGGTGGCCTCAAAGTGCCGGCCTGGCTGGAGGCGATAAGATCGCCCGTCCGGCGCCAAGCGGCAGTGCCCGCGATCCGTCAATCAATAATAAACAGGCCTCCAAAGTTCATTTACCTTCATGGAGCGGGCGGTGCTAAGTATACTAAGTAGTTACAATTACGACGATAATCAAACCCTTGCTACTTTCACATTGTATAGAGATTTTTGAAGTTCAAAAAAGACAATAAAAAACATAAAATAAGATAAAAGTGGAATTTGGATATCTCTTAGCCGCTACATGTACCAACGCCATTGTGTATGCTCCGCTCAACCAGAAAGTATCGATGTCCTACTGCCAACAAGTTACCCTAGCTGATGTAGTGTGTTATATGCGTCCCGCTTGCATGGCTGGATGATGCGAAAGGTCTGGGATCGTGACTCCAGCCGAGTCCCTCGAGTATTTGGACGATGCTGCGTCGCTGATGATGATCGGATTAAGTGGTGAGGAGATCTTGAGTGGAAAGCGCGTGCTATTCCGCTGAGACATGTGTCTCCGCACCGAGCTTTGCGGGCTGTATGTTGGCAAAGATTCCTCCCGCTTCATGCTCAGCTGGAATGATCGTTGGCTTCCAGCTCGCGATACCACTTTCTGGGGCGCCACTGCTCCATAGAGGCGGACATGTCGTGCGCTGACTCCGATGTCGCGGTCAGAAAACACGAAGCTCTATCAGATATGGAATCGTTAGCAACTATGTCAGCTCAAGGGTTGTAGGAGTCGGCTTACCGCAGCCACGTTGATCACGCTCATGATCATGGATAAGATACCAGCGGAGAGGACGAGGCGCCAGAACGGCATCCCCAGTGACTCCTGGCTTGTCGCCTTCGTGTTGAGGTCGCCCAACACCCCCACCCCCAGTACCAGCATTGCGATTGCCAGGGTAATGAACCCCGACTCCTGCCCTAGTAACGGCCAATTGCGGTCAAAGTAGCCGCGCAAGATGGGGAGCTCCGAGATAATGAGGAAGACTAGTCACCGTGCAAGTCAGCAACTTTTCACTTGGGTACAGAGTAATAACGGGGATAGAATCGAGACCAAGTACTTACTGCTGACTCCGGCCGTAGCCACGCGAGAGACTGCCTCGAAGAAGAAAAAGCTGGTCAACAGCGAGATCTTCACCAACATCACCGCACTGGCCGCGATGATGTCCAGAAAGACGATTATATTGATGACGCGAATGGCATTGAGAATCACATATCCTGGACCCGCCAAGGATTCTTGCAGTGAGGTCATCATGCTTGGGTCAAAAGTTAAGAAAAGGAAAGATCGCAAGCTCTAGCCGAGAAGCTGGATCAAGTCTGTGCCAGCCAAGTATGTATGAGTTATGTGTATGGGTGTTATAGTCTTCTTCAAAAGCGAAACTGGAACGAACCACTGAGAAGAAAAGGTACTTGGACGAAAAACCAAGGCAGGGGAAGAAAGGAAATAAAGACTGGACCAGCAGCCGGAGATTATCTGATGGGAATCAGTAGGAAGAAAGAGAAGAAGACCACGAGGTCGAAGAGGGTGTTAAAGAGAACTGGGTGTCTCTGGCTTGGGTAGTGACTGCTTGGTGTTATGGGTTATGGGTAGCTCAGCCCTAGAACAGGCAGGCAGGTATAGGGTCACCCTTGAATGAGGCTTCCATAAGGAGGGTAACAAAGACAATAATAGACACAATGGGTGAAGGACGGGGAACCCTGAAACACTTTCACAAAGCCTTTGGAAAGCCTAGGGCCAGTCATCTCAATCATTTTGGTTTCTTCTTGCTTGTTTGGGTGGGAATTGGCGCCTAATTGAATGAATTGGATCTGTTCGCTCCCATCGTGGGGGATGAGGCCTTCCTTGTGCGGGTTCGGGTGTCCAAAGGAGTCCAGCTCCCAGCGCTTATGATGCTGATACGGAATGAGAAGGAGGCTCTCATGTTATTATGTGCAGCTAGGAGCGACTCCTGGGTCGATGAAGGCGCTTCTAAGCGGCGGAGGATTGGATAGTTAGCCAGGTAGGCTGGCGCTCTCGAGGGCTTCAAACGAGCTATGTATGAGCCAATGAATGGGTTGATGAATTAAGCGCCCACCCTGCAGAAAGTTGTTCAAATCGGTGCATCAAAGTCTCGAGGGTTGCCTGCTTCTTCCTCTTTTAGAATTGAGCTCTTCTACGCATGTGCCATGGAAGATCCAAGTGGGTTGATGTATTGATGGGTGGTTGCAGCTTTCATGCTTCTTCGAGTCTGACTAGTCGAGTCATGAACAATACCTTCTGAGTACTCCGTAATATATCTATGGTTATGTACATACATACATTTTTGATAATATTCATATTGTAAGCGCACGTGCATGTTTGTCCGCCATTTATATAGACAGATACAAAGTGGTGATCAGGCGGAAGTACTCAGACAGAGTGGCATGGAACCTCTTGGACTAAAAAAGCCCGGGGAAGCCCGTGGGGCCGGCAGGCCGCAGCAACTCCCTAAGAAAACGAGGGGCGTGGAGAAAGAAAGAGAGAGAGAAGAGAGAGAGAGCCAGAGAAACAGAGAGATCCGTCTTCCATACAACTTTAAAAAGAGGAAAACTTTTCCCTCACAGGCAAAGCCACCCTCCGATTTCTTCGTCACTCCACACCAACAGAACCGTGACTGTTCGCAGCGCGTTACAATTTTCTTCCTTCCTTTCCTTCTATCTTTATTTTAAAGTGATACACGGCTTGGATTCCATCTGATCCATCTCATCACCATGACTCGTGGCAACCAGAGAGATCGCGATCGCGCGAAGAACAACAAGGAACAGTCCAAGAAGGTGAGTTCCCTGCCGAATTTCCAGCATATGAACGTATCGTCTCTAACCTAATAATGTCATTTCTAGAAATCCAAGAACGAGCTTACTGGTACGGAATTTCAGCGGAAGAAGGAGAGCGATGCTGCCAAAATGCAGGCCAAACAGAAAGCAGGTAAGATCTCAACTGATCCCCGACAAAAAATCTCGGCCTCCAGATTCTTTGCACTCGATCAGACTGACCCTCTCTCACTTCTTTTTACAGCCGATGAGCGCCGAGCAGCCGAAGCACTTGCAGGAGCGAAGAAAAAATGACACTGTCCCCCATTCTCCTCGATAGAAAGCTCCCGGTTTTGTCCTCCCAGCCTGTCCGCCACTTCGTCGCCGCGCAGTCCGGGCACCGAGTACCTCACTATATATCCTTCCCAGACCATGCTTTTTGACACCCCTGTTTTGGCTATAACTATTCGGGCTCGTGCATACTTCATGAGTTGGTCTGCCTGTGAGGCGCAGGGCTACGATAGAGCGCATGCGACTATTTCGCACGGCCTCGGGCTTTTCAACGTGATGGAGACAACCGTTTTCGATTGGAAGCATGTTATGAGGACATGGTAGCTAGCGAGGATTTCATTAAAGTTGGTCACATTTAGCGTTTTCAAGAGGCTCCCGCACAGTCATGCAACATCCTCATGGTTCACATGTATAGGTGTATGATGCGACGAGGTACGCATACTCCATGTCCAAGAACACGCACGACCCATTGCTGGAGCCTATAACCTTGCGCCTCTCTATTTGAACGGCTGACCATTGTCCTAATTGACCGCTGGGCTGCTGCTGGCCCAGACAGCCCTGGCCCAATCCAGCCAGACCTTCCAGCCACCATTCGACCTTATTCTTGGTAGCGGAGGTTCCGGCAACGCATCCCACTGAGACGCCCATTGTTTATCCTTGGCCAGACAATTGCCCTCTAGGTCTATTGACGCGGAGTACACAAATATCCACAGACTCTCGCCCTCCCAACCGATATCCAGGGCGAATTGTATCACCTGACGCACCACGCCACTGCGGATTTGATATTGGGGAATTTTTGCGACTAAGAACTCAGTAAACGCCCATCCGGATATGTCGGCAGGGTGGGCGATACACCACTGCAGGGCTTTCTGTATCATAGATTCAGCCAGTAGAGTAGAGGCATCTTGACCACCATCACCTGTCCCCAATGCGGCACCGATGACCTCCCTTAGATAAGTAAAGGCGTAGTAATTCCGAGGGTGGAGTTCTCCAGCCCGAAGGACTATGGTCAGTTCGTCATTCAAGATCCCTGGGATCACTTCGTGTGAGAGCTTATCCAGCTGCCCTTGGGGCAGCCGTTGAAGGCGCATCAAGCGAGTCAGGAGCCATAAGCGATGATTCCATAAGGTCGGGGATTTGGTGTGTCGATGCAATGGAGAGCAGAGAAAGGTCGTGGTCAAGGAGAGTTCCTTGCTCAAAGCATCGACGAGCGACCGAAGACGCCCCTTATCAGAGTCGGCGAGATTGTGGCGCAGGATAGACGCAGCCAGGCGTCTTTTGCGCCAGTTGCATGCCGTCAAATGCTCGCAGTCAAAGAGGAGAATAATCTCTGTGGACACAAGGAGGAGTTCGTCCGAAGCGTAATTCCCGTGCCCAGGTGGTGAGGTACTGTTCTCATGCTCAGGCCCATCGAGGGATTTCCCGTTCAAAGCGCCGAAGAAATTGCGTCGTGCTGTGACGAAAGCCTGGACTAGGTACTTCTTGGTGATGCCAACCGAGTGACCATCCTGTAGGAGGGGACCTAGACCCGGAGGAAGTATCTCGATCTCGAGAACCTCGTTGTTTTGGTATCCAGCTGAAAGGATCTGGGCCAGGTCATGAAATGCGGCATCATGAGTTGAAGGAGGGGACATTGGGCATCATCCAGCCTGCTGCATAGCGATTATTGCAAGAAAGAGAAAGCCCAGTCTTCACCCGGCTGTACAAAGTAGAAAGTACCGAGTTCGTTGGTGATTGAAGACTCGAGGTGTATGGACCGGAGACTGAAGAAACGCCGCAGCCGACGGGCGGGTAGAGACTCGTGACAAACGTCATCTCGATTTCCCTTCCGCAAGCTTGAGGGTCAACTTTTGTTCTCGATCTACACCCGTGTGTCTTTTGACCTCTTTGTTGGCTGCATCTCTCTGACTTATCACATACGACCTGTCCCCGGTTTGGAAATCAGCGGCGCATTGCATACGCGCACTCAACACGGTCGCAGATTTGTGGGCTTTCTTTCCATTTTCCACTGAACACTTCCCCTCCTCCATCGTCAACAACCAGAGCACCCCGACCCATCATGTTGCCTCTTGTGGGGATTGTGCTTTTCGTTCACATTGCTATCTACGTTGTGAACACCGTCGGCGCGGCCACGTTTGACAACCTAGTACGTTGACCCCAGGCGATTGGAAATATTCCCCTTCAATGGTTCACTTGACTACGATCCACCTCAACGAGAACATGTCTCCTAAACAGTGATTGACGATATTACGTCTAGTTATGGCTTCTCTACCTGAGACTCCCGACCCCGACATCTAGGAAGTTCCGCGAGCAGAACCGTCTGAAGCGCGAAGTTGTCCAACTGAAACGGGACATGAACAACACCAGCTCGCAAGACGAGTTTGCGAGATGGGCCAAGCTCCGAAGGCGACACGACAAAACGATGGAGGAATATGAAGCCATGAGTACGTTCCAACCTAACCCCCCTTGTTTTTCTGGTCGCCTACCATCTTCTCCTTCTGCGGGTGTCGTAGCAGAACAAGGAGGAGAGGACGACGCACGCACGCACTCGCGCAACCGCAAGCTAACACGTTTTATGTCCTTACCCAAACAATCCAGACAAGGAGCTCGCCTCTCAGAAATCCTCTTTCGATTGGGGCGTGAAAGCCGTCCGCTGGATCGGTACAAGTGGCCTCAAGTTCTTCCTGCAGTTCTGGTACTCGAAAACGCCCGTCTTCATGCTGCCGGAGGGTTGGGTCCCGTACTACGTGGCCTGGATTTTGTCGTTCCCCCGCGCGCCTTTCGGGTCCGTGAGCATCCAGGTTTGGAGTAATGTGTGTGCCACGGCGATTACCACTCTGGCCGAGATTGTTACAGCATTGCTATTGCAGACGGACAAAGGAGCGGCGGAGCCTGTTCCTGCGGGTGCTGGTGCCGAGGAGAAGAAAGGGCAATGAAGGACACGAAGGGGAGGGAGGGGGGTTGTTTTCAGCGAGACTACTGAATGAGCAAGAGGACAATTGTATAAAATAGAATGACTATGATGATAATGGCTCTCATTATTTCTCTCATTGGGCAGATAGCGAACTTGGACACGGGTTTATCTTCATGATATTATTATTTTTTAGAATAGAAAAGATCCGAACTGAACTAGGTGACGCGACAATGATATCAAATGCTCATCAGATAAAAAACAATCGTTTATCGTCAATAACTCCTATACCGTAGTACGGAATCTCAGGGCTTGACTCTATGATTGGTATATCATCACACGAACAAACAAAAAAAAAAAAACAGAAAAATGTGCAAGAGTCCGACTCCTTCGACAGAGCATCTGTGATCCTGCATAATCACCGCTTTCCATAAGCTACAGACTCGTTGGGAGAAGAAAAGCATAGATGAACTCCTCGCCTCAAGAATGAGCCCCATTGGGTTACCCACCACCAATCCCTAAAGGGGGTTCGGTAGTGAGCAATCGCATGACTATCCAAACACGACGAAAGGCAACCCAGATCAAAGCCCCTCTCCAGCACACGCCCGTACCACCATTATTTCCATCGAGAGAAGGCATGACCTCTCCCCGACGTCGGATACGGATGCGAGCACTGGGAGGGAACAGGGCAATAAGCCGCTATCGAATTGCTTCTATGGCGGCGCGTTTCCGCATTGCCTGACTGAGCCCACGAGGGACGATTGAAACAGTCAGGGTGTCCGGGGACTTTCCCAAAAGCTAGTTAGAAGGGAATTCCCCGAAGGGATTTCTCTGTGTGTGAGCTTCGAATGCGATTCTTTGAGCGAGGAGTTGGAAGAAAGAAGGAGAGAAAAGGAAATTGAATGGTAGAAATGCCGTAGCTGCAAATTTATGCGAGGTTAGTCGGTGGGCCCGGCTAGACTGGTTGCAGCCTAGTGCATGATCATGTGACTGTAATGGGACTTGGTGGCCTCAGGCGCATAAATGGTCGGTGGTGAAACTGCGATTGATTTCAAACTGCTGGCTTGAGAAGTTTTGAGAAAGGCACCTGTGACTTGCATGGAGGTGAAATAGATTGATACGGATATTCCTCTATTCATGCCTAGCGAATAATACAATAACCATGTACAATTGAAATCAGTCAACTCCGAGCGATATTTTATGCGATGAATAACATGACAATAACATTTTAGATAGAACCGAAGAATCAAGCCTTGGCCTTAGCCTTCTTGCCGGCCTTCTTAGCCTTCTTAGTGGCGGGGGAGGCTGCGACTTCAGTCTTCCTCGTTGATGGCTTGGCGGTCTCTTGCACAGCAGGGGACTGAGCTGCCTTCTTCTCCTTCTTGTTGGTCTTCTTGGGGGTATCTTCAACGGCCTTCACTGCTTCGACCTCCTCGGTCTTAGGGGCCTCAATGACCTTGGCAGGTTCCTCGGCTGCCGGCTCGTCCGCCTCGATAGCCTTGCTCTCTTGAACAGGAACTTCGTCCACGCTCTTCAGTTGAGGAAGCTCCAGATCGTATCCCAGAATGCTCTTCAGCTGCTCTGCCTTGGCCGCCCGTTTCTGCTGCTCCTTTTCAATGCGGTCCATCCACTGCTCTCTCGTCTTGCCCTGCTCAAGTCGCCTCTTCTCGATCTTGTTCCACGGGGTTCGCTTGAACCGTCTGTTGGCGCCCTTCCAGATCTCAGGGTGCAGACGCTCCTGGGGGACAAATTTACATTTCAGGAGGTGCTTGTACAAGAGGTAGTTGTCCATGGTAGCCGCAGCGACCTTAGCATCGGATTCCGAATCGAACTCGATGAAAGCGTAATGCTTCGAGCGACCGGTGGTACGGTTACGGGAAAGACGCAGGCGGGTGACAGTACCGAACTGGCCGAAGTAGCCACGCATCTGGTGTTCGTAGAAACCGTGGGGAATACGTCTGAGAATAAGACGGTTAGACGTGCGATCACAATATGGAGCAGTAGCACTCACCCAACATAGATCGTACCAGGTCCCTCTGGCTGGCCGGAACTCGCTTGACTCTTCTTCAGCTTGCGCTGCGCCTTCTTCAAGTCTGGGATCTTGGGCAGGGGTTTACTCGGGTCAAAGCCCTCGTCATCGGAGTCGGCCTCGTCACCGCTGCTCTCAAAGCCGCGGATCAGAGCAGTTGTGCGGTCGTCCTCTTCATCCTCACTCTGGCTGGCATCCGAGGCGGCAGACTCATCCTCATCCTCAGAATCTTCTTCCACAACAGGCTCGACCTTCTTGGGTTTGGTGTTCGCTTTGACGGTTTTTCCTTTCGTGGCAGCGGCGGCGGTTCCGTCTGACTTTCTGGACTTCTTGGTGCTGGGCTTCTCCTTGCTAGCCTTGACGTCGGTAGTCTTTGACTCTGGCTCACTCTCGTCGTTGTCACTGAGGAAGTCGGCCGCACGCTTACGGGGCTTGACCTGTCTAGCTGGCTCGCCGTTGACCTTCACTTTCGAGGAGGATTCGGCCTTAGCAGGTGCTTCGGTCTTCTTGGCCTTCTTGAGAGCTGGCTTGGGAGTTTCCTTAGGCTGTTGAGCAGGTTTGGCGTCGACCTTCTTGGTCTTCTTCGCGGGCGAGTCGGCGGCAACGGCGTTGGCAGCTATGGGGTGGTCAGTCGCCGGGGATCAATTCGCGCAATGAGTAGGGAAGAGAAAAATCACATACCCTTGCGCTTCTTGTCTTTCTTGTCCGGGGCCATCCTGTCGCGATCGGGCGTAGAAATGTAGGCTGGTGTTTGAAGCGCTACAATCGGCGGGCTTTGCGAAAGGTGCGGGAAACTTTTTTTCTGCTCGCAATTTTTCCGCCGCCAAGCGGTGAGTTCGAGCCCCCCGGCCGGCCGACCATCAGTGAATTTCACTCGGCCTGGCTGCTGCTGACTACTCCAGTCTAAGTTATCTGTAGGTAGTCGGCCATCTCGTCCTCATTTGTTTCCCCCCTCTTTGCTGCCTCTTATTCTATGCCATGGGGAAGTCTAGGAATGCCAATAGGCCACTGACACAAGAAGAGATCTGGGATGATTCTGCGCTGGTCCAGAGTTGGGACGAAGCTGTCGAGGAATACAAAGTATGAGCTCCTCTGTCGATGGCACGTGATCCAATGCTAACGAAGACTACGACAGCTCTATCACAGCATCCAGGCAAGAGGAGAGAATGTAGATGATGTACTGAGAGAGGCAGAGGCTGAAGCGGGCTTTCAAGGTGTTTCACCGGCGCAGCAACCGGATGAAGCGGTTGATCGCATGGATCATGACGCCGAACCGCCGTCTGTAGTGGCTGCAACTCCTGCTGAAGCAAAAGTCACTGTTGATTCTCAACAAGCCCCTACCCTTCAGACATCGAAGGTAAGTTATGAACTCTATCTTCTGGGCTGCATATGCTCATTTCTCCTAGACAACAGGGCAGTCATCCGCGGCTGGGGATCCAACAATTGCGCCCACTGGCCAAGGCTTCACTCCTGTAGGAGCCGTGCCTCCGCCCCATGCCGCTCTAGCACAAGGTAAGGCTCCTGTGGTAATTAGCGTTGGTAGCAGGATACTGACGCCGGCACATAGTGCAAGATGAAGGGTTGAAGAACCTCATGATGGCCTGGTATTATGCTGGATACTATACCGGGCTCTATGAAGGACAGCAGCGAGCAAATCAAAACCAAGGTCCTTGAAGAAACCTGCGGCTTGACTGCATGGCACCATTTCACTACTATATACCCAGAGCTATCCCGTTGCCCTTGCGTGGGTTGCAATCACGGAAATCACCCATGAGCGAATGTTTGCCTATTGACTCGCACCGAGTATTTCTGCATAGCCGACCATTTTGTCTCATAGCACTGAATTGTTATATTCTTTTTGCGCACTAACTATCCTATCGAGTATTCTATGGAACCAACCTGCACGACCGACCGAGCTTTACTAAGCAAATCCTAGACTAAGGTGGGAAAAATCACAATCATTATGCCTCATACAAGCATCGTAACAACACAGAACATCACCAAAACTTGGGTTCTCCGGCAGTTGCCTTTGACGGCACCGGACGAGCACCATCGGGGCATCACAGACCCAGACCACCGCCGCTCAACAGACCACCGACCAGGGGCAGGTTCGCAAAAGGGTTGTCGTTCACGATGTGAGTCTTGCTAGGCTTGGGGGGTTGGGCGGCAGCGCTGGCAACGGGCGTCGTCTCAGTGGGAGTAGTGGAGGACGGAGTCGTGCTCGCATCCTCCATCGGAGCGTTCTTGTTCTCAGTCTCGTCGGCGGTTGCGGCGGAGGCATCGTTGGCGTTGTCGCTTGCCTCCTCCTGAGCTTGCTTGTATTTCTCAATCATCTCTTCCATCATTTTGGTGGCGGACTTGAGTCGGATGTTAGCATACGTCGTCGAAGCCAAATTCTGGGCCGGAGCTTACCTCGATCCCCTGCATAGCGTAGTCGCTTTCATTGGCGACATCGTCGCGCTTGACAGGCATGGCAGACGCCATCAAAGCCATGAAAAGGCAGAGCACCAGGACGGAGAGGCTGAAGCGGGCCATTGTGATTTGTTAAGATAAAAAAAAAAAAAAAAGAAGCTGAAGTTGAAAATTAAAGAGTGGACAGGCGTACTAGACGAGGCGATCTATAGCCAAGGTTGACAAACAATGAATTGGAATGAAGAAAGAGAGAAAGACCTCCGATCGATGACTGTGAAACTGAATCCGAACACTTGCCTGGTGTTCTGCATGGAGGAGAGATGAAGTCAAGCTTTATAACTAGCATCTTGCCAGGGCTTTTCAACCAGGAGTGAGGGCGATCGTAGGAGTATGGCCACTCGCGCCTCCTCGAAGCATTGGAATTGAAGATCCGAGATTCTCTTGTCACCCTCTCAAGACTAGACGCCCTTCCCCGTGCGACAATGCACCAGCACCTCGCGACAAGCCAGTCATGGCTCTGTACCTTGATCGAAGGAATGTAAGGGGCGGGCACACCCTCAGGAAGTTACCATTGATCCACGCCACCGCAGCCTCCTGCAGCCTTGGTTCAGCCAGGTACCGCGCCCTGCGAAGCTTATTCTCATTGAATTGGGTACGTACTGGACATTCCAAGCGGGATGCTGATCCTAAGAATGATTGTCCTAGAATTGCACAGCAATAACAACCTCCTTCGATCGAATGTTAAGGGATGGTTTGTTCCACAAGGGTGCCCCGGTTGCCGACTTGCGACGTAACGCATACCTGACAACGGTTGGCGCACCCGCCCTCTCTTCTCTGCGAGGTATGGTTTGCAGACCTCCCAAGTCGAGCTTTCCTACAGCTTGCATTCCGCCAGCGCGAGCCAACGGAACAGCAGTACTTACAATTCTACGAGTTTGAATGTACCTCCCTGCTTTGACACGTACCGCCCCATTTCAGATTGACAGCGGACGCAACACGAGGGAGAAAAGTAAATTGGACAATAGAGTCCGGGATTCAATCTTGGCACAAATTTGACCTCGAATACCATGGAGAGTATGAACAGACGAGACTTCGAAAGTGCCTTGGCAGTTTAGGCTACGTGTCGATATATCCTGTAAATTAGTACACACACAAAAGGCGGGGGAGAAAACGATTGAGCAAGTTGAGAGAACATGGCTTGATACAGACAACAAATCGAGGAAAACCATCTTTTTCCAGGATCGGAGCCAGTTTCAAGCTCTCATGCCATGCAAGTCTTGTTGCAGCATCCAACCCTATACAAGAGAAGAGATGGCGAAGATGCGAAAGGTATGTGAACAATGTAACGGGATTTCAAACAAGGGATGTGTGCTCAAAAGCGAACCCAACTACAGCGTGATGAGATGGTTAGACCAACCCTGCGCCACGTGATGGGATTAGAACGAGCATGCGAAGATTCGCTCTTGGTCTCGAAGCTAAAATTTGCAAATAGAACGTGCCCTTTGGGCATCTATCCGCAAGGGTATGTTGGAGACCTGGTTTATTGAAAGAAGAAAGGAAAAAGGTTGAACTGTGAAGTTGCGCGAAAATTTAACCTACGCGGTGGATCGCGCCTGCTTATGTCAGCTACGCGCGCGCGCGGCGCAACGTGCTGCCGAGAGGACCACCCAGCAGCTTGGATCGTTTACACCCAAGGCATAAACTTGAGAGGGGGTTGAGAACGCGCAGTAGTCGATACCATTACTCCGAGGGCCGAGCTTTGCAGCTCGTACTTTACTACATCTCTGCAATGCTATAATTCACATCCTAGAGCCCAGTGTTGTCCTATACACATCCTTCGAGCTAGAACCGCGCCAGCACCCGGTCCTGCGTGTCGGCTAACGCCCACTTGTCACTATGTTTCCGACTTTGAACTGATCGAGCTTGCTCTGCTGTGAAGCCCTTAGCTTCGACAGCCGGGTTGTACCCAAGCCCCGTGATCTTTGCCACTGTCTCCGATGGTACTGGTGTTGCGGCCTTGCCATCTGCTCGCTTGTATACGGTTACCACGACGGCACCTCCCAGCCCCAGGTTGTGCTGAAGGGCGGCATCCGTGCCGTCAATTAAGCGATTATTGGCCCAGCCACGCAGGTGCCAAACAAGCTCTGCACATTGCGCCAATCCCGTTGCCCCCAAGGGATGACCCTTGGAGATAAGACCTCCAGAAGGGTTAATGACCATCTTTCCGCCATATGTGATGTCTCCCTGTCGCACCATCTCGTGCGCCTTTCCCGGCTCACATAGCTCCAGTGCATCGATGGTGATCATCTCGTTGGCAGAAAAGCAATCGTGTAACTCGCACACCTTAATATCCTTAACGTTCACTCCCGCTTCAGCCGCAGCAGCTTGGCACGCATTGCGGGCCATTCCGAATCCCATCAAGTCAATAGAGCTGCGATCATACACGGAGCTGTGATCAGTGGCGAGCGTTTGACCGGCAATCAGGATTGCCTGGTCTTTCAGGTGGGGATGCGCCTCAAGGAAAGCTTGGGAGACGACCACAGCAGCGGCCGCGCCGTCGGATGTTGGACAGCACTGCAGCTTCGTCAGAGGTGCGTGGATCATCGGCGATTTCAGAATCTGGTCGAGAGTATATTCGTCCTGAAATTGGGAGTACGGATTACGCTTGGAATGTTCGTGGTTAATCCGCGCAATGTTGGCAAAGTCTTCGGCTTCAGCACCATACCTACATGTGACGATTAGTTCCTTTCTTTCATCGTCCTAGCGACCGTTTCCAGACCACACACTTACTTCTCCATATACTCACGACCAGCGTTGCCGAACATCTGTGCCGCACCTGGGGCATTCGTGACTCCTCTGGTCTCGGCCATCATTTTTCCGAACAGGCCAGTCGGATTCGCGCGATCGCTGTAGACCGACTGGAGACTACCCGGGCTCATCTTCTCAAAGCCAACAACCAGGATGCAGTCTGCGGCCCCGTGAGAGACCAGCGTTCGAGCCATAGCCAAACCTGTGGACCCTGTGGAACAGTTGTTATTGACGTTGTAGATGGGAATCTGTGTGAGTCCAAATTGATAAAAGACGCGCTGCCCGCAGGTACTGTCTCCGTACACGTAGCATGCAATCCCTTGCTCGACCTCATCGTAGTTGATGTGGGCATCCAGCATAGCTTTGACACCAGCTTCGAAACCCAACTCTTGATAATCGACCTTGCCACGCGGTTTTATGAACTTGGTCATGCCAACGCCCAGCACGTAGGCGGGACCTGATGGCTTCTTGGCCATGATGTTCGTTCGGCGAAAGACCTGGGGGTTCTCTCTTTAGGATTCTCGACTCGATTCCCTCAGCGCGAATTGAATCAAGTTTATCTTCGATGAGGTGCTCTGTTGGGAGTGGGTTGATTCGAGCGACGCGAGATTCAGGAGGTAGTATGGCAGGCGTAGTTATGTGTTTTGATGGTGGTAGTGCAAACATCAAGTGGTCCGATGCGGAGTAACGCTCCTTTTTGCGGGGGAACCGCCTGCGGGACCGAGGTCCCGAGGGTAAGCCCCATCCCCACTTACCTTACCTTGCATGAGGATTCAACATACATGCACAATACCCAATGAACAATCTTGATTTGTGATTAGAATATCTTATTCTCGCATCGCAGGACACATTAGCAAGATTCTTGGTTCTTTATGAATGTTCAGCATCTTGATCCTGTCACACCTGAGATCGAATCATATCACCCACGAGCCTAGGACGAATGAATTGATTATATATACTGTTCTGTACAGTACTTGTGGAACCCCGAATTGAGGATCTCACATAATATATGATCAAAACAGACCTTGGCTGCTGAGACCGGTGCTACCATGGATTCTGCATTTAAGTCCACTGAGTTAATTTCCTGTCTACTTCTACTTTGGGCATTGAGTAGCCTGACCACGCTCCTCGTTCCGCGTTGTCAGGTCGTTTTCTCGAGATGCACTGCGGTACGAAGCACGGGAGTCGCCCACCAATTAGCATTGACACAAATCGAGTGACCATAGCGTTGCTCTCAACTGATTGCTACAGAATCCTGATCCAAAGGGTGTGTGCGCCTCTCAGGGAGGGCTGTGGATCGACAATGCCAATCAAGTACCGGAGATATGATTCGTTCACTCAAGACAGTGCAGTGCTCAGAGGTATCACCAGCAAGACTTTGTCTGCCACAAGAGCCAATCATGATCGCGGATTCTTCGATGCTGGCACTGCTGTTAACTGGTATTCTGGCCAGCACAAGATGGATTACGACACCAGTGCCACGGCCCAACCATGGTTGAGGGAGCGATCATCTTATCTGCACGCATGCTCGAAGGCCCACAGTCAACCATCAGCCCGTTGCTGGCGATCTAGGCCAAGCCTCCGATAAAGAGTGTCGAGTCATGAAGTGAGGAGAAAGGCCATCAGGGAAGCATAGTGATAATCATTTATGTGGTCAGCTTACATGTGAAGCTTTGTAAGTTATGCTTGTTGAAACAGAAAGAGGGAGGTGGCAGGTGGGGGGGGGGGGACCCGGATATCCTTCAACAGCTTGATGTGGCACACCACATACCCCAGAAAGGACTGGCTTTACCACCCAGCTCCTGCCACAGCTCTCACGCTATTGTACGGATACTGTACATATATTAATATATACGAGTATTATACATGTAGCAGTAAGCACCGGCAGAACAACCGACTGGCATGTTTTGCACCCGTTTTAAGAATGGACCACAGGACTAGAATCAAATCATCAACATCAGATCCTGACTGGTGGCTTGTAGTGCGGTTCAGCCAGGGCGGGGTAGAGTAATTGATTGACTGATTGATCAGTTTATTCTTATTGCCCTCAATGCCGTAGACGATCCGTCCGGGCGGCGGGTGCAACCACCGCAACCACCGACCGGATTGGTTTGGTCCACTGCAGCTTTCTTCCCTTCTTTGCCACGCATCATAGGGTAATGTACTGAGTGAGTACTACTCATACTCTGCATCCCTGGGGTGTGTATGTGTGTGTGTGTGTGTGGATGGAGTATTGAGTGGATTTATAGCGGGGTTGTCGACGGAGTAGTCTAATGAGGAATAAACACCTTCCCGCTCGCCGAAGTATTTGTAGAGAAAGAAATACATCGTACGAGTATGTACACGAGGGGGGACTCAAATGATATCGTTTGGCTAAGCAAATAGATGGAAAAGAGGCACCCCAGTCAAATTGGATGGTCATCCCCATCTCCCTAACCGTTTCTCTGTTGAACTTAACGGATGCAGCAACAATTACTTTGGGAGTAATCTAATCACCTAATCACCGTACTCATAGTTACTGAGTTGCACTGGATGCCTCACGACGACGTCACTGGATGGGAACTCCCACTAAGCCTGTTCCAGTGATCCACTGGGCAGTTCTCCAGTCATCCAGTCTTCCAGTCATCCAGTGGGCGCAGTGGCTTTCCCACCCACACCCACACCCCCACAGTCCACAATAATGAATGAATTGATTAATGCTCAATCCATGCTCTCTGCCCAAATTTCTCGAAGGACTGAAGTTACAAGTTCCGTAACTATGCTGTCTATGCATCAACTTAGTCAAACTAAAACCCAACTAGGCTCACTAAAGTTGACTGCTGACACTAACCCAACTAAGTACCACTGCTGCTCACCCCACTGGTTGAGTGATTTTCTGGTACCCCCATCGTGATGGTTGTCGACTCGCTCCCACTCTCTCTTTTTAGTCTCGACTGTAAACTTCCTTCCATTCTTCTTCGATCTGATTCTTCTTCCCTGCCATCCGCACAGTCCATTGTCTTCCCGACTCTGGCCTTCGGCTGCCACCATACTGTGTCGCAGTTGTTCCGCACAGGTACGTGGAGCTTGTCGTCTCGTGGATGAGACTTTAATCCCTCCTAGAATATGTGAAGGACTGGCGTGCGTTGGAAGTAGTGGCTCACCCTTCTGCATCCTCAACAGGTATTCCTGGACAACAGTGCAAGGTCCCAGTTGGTGGAAAGAGAAATTCAATCCTGACTTCAATCTTTCACTCGCGACCGACCAGTGCGCTATCGAGCTGGACGTCGTCAATTCGACCCAGAGAAACCTTCATTAGCAATCCAGTAGCTCCGGTAGCTGTGTGCTGGTGCGATCTCCTCCACTGAACGCCGTCTATTACATTACAACCCCCTTTCTTTCAGCCGTGAAAGAAAATCGTTCAGGAGGTTGTCGGTATCTGCTTCATGGATAATTGTGGGACGCTGAACGGTCTGCTCGCGCGCTGAGAGACCGCTTTGCGTTCCATAGGGTTCCCCAGCCTGCTTGTTCCTAGCGACCTGCCTATAACCACAAACATTCGAACTGAACATACACAACCAAAGAGGCCTCTTCATCTGCCGCAGATGGGATACCTTCAGGCATGACTCTAGACAAACGCGCTGAACATGCACCCTTTACCCCGACCCCCTCGAAGTCTCCTCCCCTAGCCATGTCGAACCGAAGTCCCTGGCTTATGGACGAAGCCAAGCGAAACAGACTGCTCAAGAGGTACAAAACCCAGGTGGCCTCGGCGACTTCGACAGTTTGTGCCACCCTCGCCGTGGTAGGTCAACACCGAGCAGAAGCGAAGGAGCTATGGAATAAGCTGACTGGAGGCGCGAACGGCTGGCGTAGACTCCATTGGAAAATGTCAAAACTCGTATGCAGACGTGAGTGCGATTCGCTCGTTGGACGAGATGGTCGAGGTTCCTTGCTGATAGATTCGATGCAGACATAATTTCAAGAATGTCTTCCAATGCGTCCGCTACCTGTGGCGTACCGAAGGACCCCGCGGTTACGTTGCTGGTAGGTCGACATCGCCCCTTGGATTCTGCGCGACAAAGCATTAATGTAAATGTCGAATCTCAGGAGCCCTGCCACCTCTAGCAAGCGTTACGGCGGTCCGAGTGGTTAATTTTACAACGTACAACGCGGCCAAGCATCGAATCTCCGATTTCATTGAGAAAATGACCGGGGAATCGCCACTGGCGATGTATAATCAGCCAGGCAGTAGCCCCACTGTGTCGACGCTGTTTACCTTTACCGCTGCTGGCCTTGTTGCTGGTCTTATAACCTCACCCCTAGCCTGTGAGCTCTGTCGCTGTGGATTATTAGCAAGAATCCTGCCCGCTGACGTGCGATAGGCCCCTTCGAGCTCGCCAAAAATGTGGTTCAGACCTCGGTCTTGGTGTCGAACCGTGCACAGGCCGCCCCTAACGCAGTCAATGATCCTTCTCTTCGCAAAAAACCACGCCTGGGAACCGTAGAGGCCATCAAACAGATCATCCAGCGGTATGGGATCCGTGGATTGTACACGGGATTTCGTCTTCACGCTATGCGGGACACGCTCGGCTCTGGTCTCTATTTCACCGTCTATGAAACCGTCAAACAACTTGCAGCGAAGGAGCTGGGTCCTGACAAGTCTCCGTTCGGGGCGCCCATGATTGCGGGTGCAATCTGCAGCACTGTCCCTTGGTTCTGTGTAAGCTTTTGTCCAGCACTTGATCCCAGCTTTCCAGCTAACTGAAGTAGACCTATCCACTTGACACGCGGAAAACTCGTGCACAGAGTGTTCTGCTCGGAAAATCAAAGGAGGTGGGCGAGGCAACGGCCGCCGTAGCCAAATCGAGCATGTACAAGGGGCTTTCGATTATATTGATACGGACGGGGGTCAATAATATGATCCTCCTGAGTATCTTTGAGTATATCAAGATGAGGATAAACGAGCTGGACTAGTGTATGATGAAAGGCTCACTGATCGGGTGCAATGCGTACAGTACATGTGTGTGTGTATTGTTGGGCGTATATGGTCGGAATTTTTGTTATGATCCTTTTCAAGTACATAATGGCATGAGCTCCAAGCCGCAAATACAGAATGAATTATGTTGATGTCTACGTGCTTTTTATATGGTAGATGGCAAAGTGTACCTGACGGGGGGCGTTTCTGCCTCAGGCATTCAGCGAAAACGTCATGCGTTGCCCCGGCGGGGGTCAGGATTGGGCTTTTCTGTCAACAAAACTTCCCCGCCATCGGCCGACCGTTCTCACTCGCCTGCGTGCGCTCAATCGAAGGACACGATGGCATCGTATGCGATTTCCATCTTCTTAACCTTCCCTGGAGTCCGCTAACTCTGATACAGTAATATTCTCCAGGTCCCATTTCGGCGATCGCACCCCGTCTCCCTCAACGATGCCATTACGCAGTACATCTCCTCGAAATATGACCAGCGTCCGGATATGTTCGCCGAGGATCTCCTGATCATCGACCGGCTACGGAGCGAAGCAATCAATGTCCAGGAGGCACATGTCAGCGGAATCAGCCGGCTGGTCACCTACGCGGCGCAGTTGAAGTGGCTTGGCGGCAAATTTCCAGTCGATGTAAGCCAATGTCCGCTCATGCCTTTCTCTGGAGACAGATATCA